GCAGCAGCAGCAGCAGCAGCAGCAGCAGCAGCAGGAAAGGCAATTCAAGGAGAAGGGCTGGAGAGGCTGGCGGAGGACTTGGGAGTGGGACTTGATGACATTTTCTTTTTGGTCTTCGCCTTCCACTGCGAATGCAAAACGCAAGGAGTGATAACTCGAGAAGACTTCTTTCGGGGGCTGCGGAGTTTAGGTGTAGATACACTGCAGGGGCTGCAGGCGCAGGTGCAGCAGCAGCAGCAGGCGCCCTACAGGGACTTGCTGCTGCTGCGGCGGGTCTACAGCTTCGCCTTCGGCTACGCGCTGGAGCCGCAGCAGAAGCAGCTCCCCAAAGACCTTGCTGCTGCTTACTGGCTGCTGCTGCTGCAGCCGCTGCAGTGGTGTTTGCTGCAGCCCTTTCTGCAGTACGTGGAGTGTATCTCCACCTTGCGCAGCATCAACAAGGACGTCTGGCTCATGGTCCTCGAGTTCGCCCTCTCCTGCCCCACCAGCAGCAGCAGCAGCAGCAGCAGCAGCAGCAGCAGCAGCAGCAGCAGCGGCAGCGGCAGTGGACCAGTGGACCAGACCATTGACCGCGTGCTGGCGGAGTACGAAGACGACGGCGCGTGGCCGCTGCTGATCGACAACTTCGTGGAGTGGATGCGGGAGCAGCGCAGCAAGAAGTGAAGCTGGATTCTTTGATTTAATTCATTTATTTAATTAATTTATTCATTTATTTCTTTAATTTATGCATTTATTCTTTAATTTATGCATTTATTCCTTTAATTTATTCATTTATTGCTCAATTCCACTTTTTTGGGGCTTCGAAGCTGCAGGGCCGCTCGGGTGTACGCGCTCGGGTGTACGTACACCTCGCGCACAGCGCACTTCCGCCCCTTTCGAGTTCCTCAAAAACCAAAACTTTCTTTTCCACTTTCGCTCTTCAATACTCCACTTATAACAGTCTGAGCGCTCGCCCCAGCTCCCGCAGCTGCTGCTGCTGCTGCTGCTGCTGCTGCTGCAGCTGCTGCTGCTGCAGCTGCTGCTGCTGCTGCAGCTGCTGCTGCTGCAGCTGCTGCTGATGCTGCAGCAGGAGCAGCTGCTGCTGCTGCGGGCCAATGTTTTTTACTTTAAAAGAAATGACTCAAAAGGCGCAGTTGGCCGCTGGGGTGTACAGACACCCCGGCGGTTCCACGGAAGCCTCTTGGACAAACCCAACGGCTTTTAATCATTAAATTAAATTCTTTAATTTCTGTTTCCTCTAAAGCCTCTCACAACTCCGCAGCACTTCGAGGCAAGCCTGCTGCTGCAGCGCCGCATGTTTGCTGCTGCGCTGCAGCAGCAATTGAGAGGACGTGCTGCTGCAGCAAGCTGCAGCAAGACGGGAGCAGCAGCAGCTTATTTGCTGCAGCTGCATGCATGTCTATGAAAGTCTGCAGCCGCGGCTTTTGTGGGGTGTTTTGGCTGCATGCATGCAAAAGCAAATATAATTAAAAGTTCACTTTCCGTTTATTCATAAGTTTAAATACACATATAATGTATATATAATATATATTTATTTATTTATTTATTTATTTATTTATTTATTTATTTATTATTTGCAGATTTATTATATAATACTTTCTGGGCAATTTCGTCTGCTGTGTGCAGTGCAGAAGCAGCAAAAGGCAGGAAAGGGGGCGGCCCACTGCAGCGCCTGCTGCTGCTGCTCAGCTGCTGTCGGGGAGCGCAGCAGCAGCAGCAGCAGCAGCAGCAGAGGCAGCAGCTCCTCGAGGCAGCAGCTGGGAGTGGAGAAGGCCATTGTCGTCAAGTGGTCCACTGGTCTTGGCCGTGACCATTTGCGGCGCCCTCATTCGTCTTCGTCTTGCTGCTGCTGCTGCTGCTGCTGCTGCTGCTGCAGGTGTCTGTGGGGTGTACGTACAGCCCGCCGCTGCGTGGCTCGGCGGTGCCGTGTGCGACTTACGTTTGCTGCTGCTGCTGCTGCTGCTGGTTCTGCTGCTGCTGGTTCTGCTGCTGCTGGTTCTGCTGCTTCTTGGAACTCTCCAACGCCTGCAGCAGCAAATTAGTTTGCTGCTTCGGGGGAAGCTGCTGCAGCACTCACAGGGCCACTGGACGTCGCAGGCAGCCATTTGCTGCAGCTTCTGCTGCTGCGAGAGTGCGCCGAAGGCCACTTCTTGGCCGCCTGCAGCAGCAGCAGCAGCAGCAGCAGCAGCAGCAGCAGCAGGTGACCACTGGTCACCTCGAGTTGCTGCAGTGGTCAGGCCACTCACAGCTGCCCCTGTAGTTCTGCGGCGCCCGGCAGAGCTGCCCGTCGCCGGAGTCCGTCCAGCCCACAGGGCACACAAAGCCGAAGTCCACTTCGCAGCCAGTTCTGTCTGGAGCGCTGCATGCAGCAGCAGCAGCAGCAGCAGCAGCAGCGGCAGCAGCAGCAGCAGCAGCAGCAGCAGCGGCAGCAGCAGCAGCAGCAGCAGCAGCGGCAGCAGCAGCAGCAGCAGCAGCAGCAGCAGCAGCAGCGGGGGGAGAGAGGCCCCTGGCGTGTCACCTTGGAAGGGAAAGCGGACTTTGCAAAGCGCAGCAAAGGCCCGGCGGTCTTCTTCGGATTTTAAAGAAATTTCCCGCGGGCAATTTTCCGAAGAAATGAAAGAGGGGGGCCCCCGACACAAGTGGAAGTCAAGTTCTTGCCAGCCGAGGGGGCAGGGGGCCCCGAAGTTCCGCTTCCTCCCGCTGCTGCTGCTGCTGCTGCTGCTGCTGCTGCTGCTGCTGCTGCTGCTGCTGGTGCTGCAGCCCCAGGCGAGGCCGCAGCGCTGCTGCAGCGCCGCCTTCAGCTGCGGGCGGCCCCTGTACCCCGACAAGTCCAGCAGCAAAGGGCAGGGGCCCCCGTAGCCCGGGGGGCCCCTGCAGCGCGCAGAGCCGGGGGGCCCCTCGGCCCAGCCCTTGGGGCAGTTGCTGCTGAAGTCTGTGGGGCAGCTTTGCTGCTTGCAGGGCCACTGGACCCCACAGAGGGTTTCCCAGCGGGCCTTGGCCGTGGGGTCTGCGTCGCCGCGCAGCAGCTCCTCGCCGCAGGCTGCTGCTGCTGCTGCTGCTGCTGCTGCTGCTGCTGCAGCAGCAGCAGGCTCGCAGCGGCCGTCCGCAGCACGCTGCCGCCAACCCAACGGGCAAGCCTCCGAGTAGTCCGCACCCCCAGGACACTGCAGCGGCCTGCAGGGGTAGCGGGCTTTGCATGCAGCAGCCCAGGCTGCTTTGGAGCTGCTGCTGAGCTGCTGCAGCTCCGGCTGCTGCGCCCCACAGGGCCCTTTGTATGCTGCTGTTGCCACGCAGCTCGGCCCCTGCTGCTCGAAGTCCAGCGGACACAACACCGAGAAGTCCTGCATGCACTCGCTGCCGCGGGACGCGGCCTGCAGCAGCAGCAGCAGCAGCAGCAGCAGCAGCAGCAGCAGCAGCAGCAGCGGCGGCAGCGGCAGTTCGGTGGGGCGGCGCGGCGAAACTGGGGCCGTATCTGCTCACGGATGAAGCCATTGCCTGGAGAAGAAATAAATAATTTGAATAAAATATTTAATTTAATTAAAAGTAACTTTGATTGTTTTTTTTCAAAGTTCCAACAGACCTTCTCAAACTCCCGGATGTCTTGCGTCGAGAGGGGGAGGCTTTCCGAGTTCTGCAAAGGCGCATGCAGAAAGCTGAACAAAAACTTGAATTTTATTTTTTCTTTTTTACTTTTTGAAGGTCTTGAAGAACTTCTTTTTGAAACGCCGCGGACTCCGAAAGGGCGGGAGGACCAGTGGTCACGCCGGCGGCGGCGGTGGTCTCGGGCGGCGCGGGCATCTGCTTTTCTGAAACGGAAAAGTTGAAATGCTGCAGCTTTCTGCGGATTTTTTGGGGAATTCACCGAATTTATACCAAATATTCAACACGGCGAATATTTTGGAGGCTTCTTCGATGATTTTCGTGAGGAAGTTCCCCTTGGATCGCGCCTTTTCTTCTTTTTCCTGCTCCGGCTGCGCAGCCGCGGGCTGGCCTCCCAGCGCCTCCTCTACTTCTCCCCGAGCCTCTTCGACCTGCTGCAGCAGCTCTTTTTGAATTGCGGCTTTTTCTGCAGCCGCGGCTGCGGGCCGTTCGTACGGCTGCGGCGGCTGCGGCGGCTGCGGGGGCGGCTCGGGCTGCGGGGGAGCGAAGGCGAACGGGGAAAGCGCTGCTGCGCTGCGAACATTGTGCGTCAAAGCGGCAGCAGGCTTGCAAACTACAAAAAAAAAACAAATAATAATAAGTGCTTTCATTGCATCTCCTTCACGTTCAGCTTTCGGATCTGCCGAGTGCAGCGGCGCGCGCGGGCGGCGCTGCCGCGGGGTGTACGTGCAGCTTTCGAAACGCGAACGGATCTTGCCGCACACGCAGGAAAGGAGATTTAAACAATAAAAAGAAAACAAATTAAAGTTTAAAAAGAAAACAAATTAAAGTTTAAAACGTTTTTGCAGGATGTCAGTTGGCTTTCAACCGGGCTTTGCAGCGGAACAGAGGCCCGCTACAGCCCAGGCCACTGCCGCGTTCTGCAGCCACTTCGGGAAAGCTCTGCGGCTCTCCAACTCCAAAGCCCCGCCGCCACTGCCAGCTTCACTGCGGCCTTTCTGAATGCGCCGGAGAGTCTTCTTGGGGCGGCGCAGTCAAGTAGAAGAGGAGGGGGCTGCAGAGCGCGCAGGCGAGCAGAAGAGTGTCTGGAGTGGCAAAAAGTTGATTTTCGCGGATTAAATTGCCATTATTTTGTCTTTTTAATGCAAAAAAGGAATTATTTTAGTTTATTTATGCATTAAAAGGACAAAATAGTGGCAAAAGGCAAAGACTCACACGCCGGGCTCCCCCGCGGGAAGCGCCAGGCCCAGCGCGGCCGCCATCGCCCGCCGCGCCATCCGCCCCGAAGCCCTCAGTCCACTTTCTGCCAAAAAGACAGAAAGGCTGTGGCCGAAGTGGTTGAAGTTGAGATATTCCGCGACGAGTTCGTTCACCAGAGTCACTTCCGGCGGCGGGGGGGGGGCTGCGGCGGGCTGCAGCGCACGGCCCGCAGCTGCACGCGCCTTGCAGCAGCAGCAGCAGCAGCAGCAGCAGCAGCAGCAGCAGAGCAGCAGCAGCAGCAGCAGCAGAGCAGCAGCAGCAGCAGCAGCAGCAGCAGCAGCAGCAGCAGCAGAGCAGCAGCAGCAGCAAATCAGCAGCAGCAGCAGCAGCAGCAGCAGCAGCAGCAGCAGCAGCAGCAGCAGCAGCAGCAGCAGCAGCAGCGCAACGCACCTTTCCCTTCAAAGCTTTGAACAGTTCCGCCAGCAGCTGCGCCCGCAGCGCCCGGAGGGTCCCGCGGGCCTCGAGGGCCTCCGTGGCTGCGCCGATGAGATACTGGAGGCTTTCTTCCTCCATTTGCTGCCACTTGAAGGTTTTTTTGCAATTAAAACTTCTTTTTTGTCTTTTTAATTTCAGCAGAGTCTTTGGCGGGCTGAAAACGAGAAAATCCGGTGAAGTCCGCTGCAGAAACTGCGGCGAGAACCCAGTTGGTCTTGTGGCGGGAGTTGAGGGGCCTCTCTTGCTCCTCAGAAGCCTTAAGGGTGGACTTTAATTGTTTTTTAATTTTAAAAAATAAAAAGATTAAATTTGGTTCTTTAAATGCGAAATTCTCAACTCATCGCGCAGACACTTCGCCGCACAGAAGTGCGCTGGGGCGCGACGGACCGGAAACAAGCCCGAAAAGGGATTCGAGTGGAGATCAAGAAAGAAAAAAACGCATTTGCAAATATGTTTTTTGTTTTTTAAAAAATAATTTGAATTAATTAGATCGTTGGCGAGGAAACGGCAACGGATCAGGGAAGTGTTCAATGAGGCCAAGGCGGATCAGTCGAGAGGCGGCGGCGGCGACTCCACACTGGACTGAAGTATCTTTTTTTCCTTTATTTCGCAAAATTTAATTAATTAAATACTTTTAATTTGTTTGTTTTTCAACTGTGGACTGACGGGCTCGAGTGCGCCGAAACACTCAGAGGTCGCTGCCGATCAGCCCCTGCCTATCGATCGCGATACGCACACCCCGGGATTCCCCGTCTTTTCTCTTCAAGTTTGTTTGCAAGTTTGTTTATTTTTATTCACTTAATTGCATTTAATTCATTTCAAGAAAAGTCTTTTTCAAAGGAGGCGCCAGTCCGCGGGGCAGCTGGTGCCGCCGACGCCTCGCGCAGTCACCTGGGGGCATGCTGAAACGCCCACAGCGCCGTTGCTTCACTTCAGAGTTATCTTGGATCGATTTGCGTCTTTTTTCTTTAAAATTTATTTTTAAAATGCCATTTAAAGGCTGCAGGTTCAAATAAATTCATAATCTCCCCAGCGCGCGCCGAACACGGCGGGCGAGCGCCTCGGGCTTTCACCACGAAATGGGAAACTTCATATCTTTGCGCCTGCATGCAGCAGCTCTTAAAGCATTTAATTTGAATTTAAAAAAGATTTGGAAAGGCCAGAAGTCTCTGCGTGCTCTAAAGTGGGCCAAAATTGCCTGTAGGCTTTGTATTCAAAAAGTGGCAAAGTTGAATTCAGGAATTCAACTCCCTCGTGCTGCTGATTCTGTACATATATTTGTCTGTCTTCAAGTTTAACAAACAATTCAATTAACTCAGCATTGAGTTGCACTGATTTCAATATATATATATATATATATATATATATATATATATATATATATATATATATATATATATATATATATATGTATATATATATATAGTGACCCACTTTTCAGTTCTTTTTGTCTCTTTTTAGCATTTTGTGGCATTTGTGTTGTCTCTTTTTTGTCTCAGGGAAAAAGGAGAAAGGGGACAAGTTGCAGAGTCTGCTGCTTCGTCTCTGAGCTACGCCATTCAAATAGAAAGTGAGCTCCTAAACCCTAAACCCTAAACCCTAAACCCTAAACCCTAGGCGCAGACTTGCTAGCCAAAGCTTCAAACCCCAGACTCCGAGCCACTGTAAGACACAAATGTGCGCTAAAACGAATTGTCACTTCAGTCCCTGCGTTGCTGCTGCTGCTGCTGCTGCTGCTGCTGCTGCTGCTGCTGCTGCTGCTGCTGCTGCTGCTGCTTGCAGGAAAGGAGTCCAGCGCGTTGTTGCTGCTGAACGTGGACTTGGGCGTGAGCGAAGAAGAAGTGCAGAAGTGTCTGTCGGCTTTGTCGCCGGTGGAGTCCGTGCGGGTGCTGCGGTGTACGTACACCTCAGCGCCTGGGGGCTGCGCCCTCGTCGAACTGCCGTCGCCAAAAGCCGCTCAAAGAGCTCTCACTTTATTTTCCAAAGTGGAATTCCGCGGCCGCAGAATTGCCCTTTGGCTTTGCAGCAGCGCCCTCTGTCGTGAGCGAGCTTTCTGTCGCAGCTGTCTGTACACTCCGTTTTATCTGCACTATTTTCAGTTTTTCATTTATTTCTGTTTTCTTTTTTTGCACTTCGCATTTTATTTCTTTTTCGGAAACTCGCGGGCTCTTCGCTGCTGCTGCGCTCCTGCTGCTGCCTTTAGCAGCTTCTGCAGATGCGCAGCAGAAATGTTTTTTAATTAAATGTGCAGCAGATAAATATTTATTAATTTAATGTGCAGCAGATAAATATTTATTAATTTAATGTGCAGCAGGCTGCTGCTGCTGCTGCTGCTGCTTGCAGGAAAGGAGTCCAGCGCGTTGTTGCTGCTGAACGTGGACTTGGGCGTGAGCGAAGAAGAAGTGCAGAAGTGTCTGTCGGCTTTGTCGCCGGTGGAGTCCGTGCGGGTGCTGCGGTGTACGTACACCTCAGCGCCTGGGGGCTGCGCCCTCGTCGAACTGCCGTCGCCAAAAGCCGCTCAAAGAGCTCTCACTTTATTTTCCAAAGTGGAATTCCGCGGCCGCAGAATTGCCCTTTGGCTTTGCAGCAGCGCCCTCTGTCGTGAGCGAGCTTTCTGTCGCAGCTGTCTGTACACTCCGTTTTATCTGCACTATTTTCAGTTTTTCATTTATTTCTGTTTTCTTTTTTTGCACTTCGCATTTTATTTCTTTTTCGGAAACTCGCGGGCTCTTCGCTGCTGCTGCGCTCCTGCTGCTGCCTTTAGCAGCTTCTGCAGATGCGCAGCAGAAATGTTTTTTAATTAAATGTGCAGCAGATAAATATTTATTAATTTAATGTGCAGCAGATAAATATTTATTAATTTAATGTGCAGCAGATAATCTAAATAATACTGCACAATATATATTATATGCTGCATTAACATAAGTGCATGCACTCAGTGCGCAGCAGCAGCTGCAGCAGCTGCAGCAGCTGCAGCAGCTGCAGCAGCTAGCTCGTCTCCGCTAGAAAGATGTTGCACAAGTGTTCTTTTCAGTCTCTCAAAAATTTGGATAGTTCTGCTTTTCCGGCTCCCCTGCTGCTGCTGCTGCTGCTGCTGCTGCTGCTGCTGCTGCTGCTGCTGCGTGTGGCTCAGCGAGCCCCGCTGCGGTGGCTGGCAGCGACACGCTGCTGCTGCACAACTTGCCGCTGGCAGCAAGTGAAGCAGCTCTGTACAGAATGGCCGCTGCTGTTGCTGCAGTGAAGAAGACTCGGATGGCCCGCGACAGCAGCAGCGGGAAGCCCCTGGGCTACGGCTACGTGCAGCTGCAGTCTGCAGCAGCAGCAGCAGCAGCGCTGGCTGCGCTGCAGCAGCAGCAGCGGGAGGAGCAGCAGCTGGGTCTGGGCCCGTCGTGGCGGGTGTGCAGCTGCCTGCCCCCGCTGAAGATGAATTTAAATCATTAGTGAATACTTTTTGCAAATTGAAGGATTTTTTAAAAGTATTTTTGGAATTCAAATTCAAGAAATGTGGGCTCTGATGGCTTGTTGGAAAGGCTTGCTGCTGGCGCGCAAGTGGAGTTGAACGAGGCGGAAAGCGGCGAAGTGTGCAGCAGTAAAAAGCCACAATAACTGCTGCTGCAACAGCAGCAACAGCAACTGCTGCTGCAGCAACAGCAACTGCTGCTGCAGCAGCAGCAACTGCTGCTGCAGCAGCACCAACAGCAACAGAAATAAATGAAGAAAGAAAGCCGCGAGTGCGGCGGGTGGCCGCGGGAGCGGAGGAGTGGGCGGCCGCGGTGTCGATACACCGCGCGGGCGGGGCTCCCTGAAAGCGGAAAAAGTGGCGAAAACGCCGGCGATTTTCGGGAAAGCGCAAATTAAATTGAAGATTCATCAAAATAAATGAATTTAAAAAGAAGTTTCCGTTTGTTCAGTGCGCTTACTCGGCCCGGAAGCAACAAATAGCCTCCCGGCTGCGGCTGCGGCTGCAGCCGGCGGCCGCAGCTGCGCCGCGGGGGCCTGCGGGCTGTTTTCCGCAGCCCGCGGCGGCCCCCCGGCAAAAAACTAATTCGAAAAAAATGTGCGGCTGAGCGGCGGCAGCCGTTGGATCGGCAGCGCCGCTGCAGCGCAGCAGCAGCGCAGCAGCAGCGCTGCTGCAGCGCAGCAGCAGCGCCGCAGCAGCAGCAAAGCACTTGGGCGAGGCCGGGGAGCGCGGCGAGGGCCTCGGGGCCTCGAAGGCGAACTCCTGAGGCCCTCCTCTGGGCCTCCTGCGGCCTCTGGCAGCCCCCACTGCCTCTCCAAAACGAAAACTCTGCAGCTTTTTGCCCCCTTTTTGCCCCTTTTTTGCCCCTCTTTTGCCCCTCTTTTGCCCCTTTTTTGCCCCTCTTTTGCCCCTCTTTTGCCCCTTTTTTGCCCCTTTTTGCCCCTCTTTTGCCCCTTTTTTGCCCCTCTTTTGCCCCTTTTTTGCCCCTCTTTTGCCCCTCTTTTGCCCCTTTTTTGCCCCTCTTTTGCCCCTTTTTTGCCCCTTTTTTGCCCCTTTTTTGCCCCTCTTTTGCCCCTTTTTTGCCCCTTTTTTGCCCCTTCTTTGCCCCTCTTTTGCCCCTTTTTTGCCCCTCTTTTGCCCCTCTTTTGCCCCTTTTTTGCCCCTTTTTTGCCCCTCTTTTGCCCCTCTTTTGCCCCTTTTTTGCCCCTCTTTTGCCCCTCTTTTGCCCCTTTTTTGCCCCTCTTTTGCCCCTTTTTTGCCCCTTTTTGCCCCTCTTTTGCCCCTTTTTTGCCCCTCTTTTGCCCCTTTTTTGCCCCTTTTTTGCCCCTTTTTTGCCCCTTTTTGGCCCAAAGCCCCGCCTTGAGGCCAAATCCGCGGCCGCGGGGCTGCGGCGGCCGCTGGAGAGCTCGCGGGCTTTCTCTCCAACTCAACGCAGCCCCCAAGTCCAAACGCCCGCCTGCAACTCCAACAGCTTCCCAATCAACTCCCTATAATATATATATATAAACTGTCTATTTATATTATATATAAACTGTCTTTATATATTATATATAAACTGTCTATATATATATTATATATAAACTGTCTTAGTAATGCAAATATATATATATATATATGTATATAAACTGTCTTAGTAATGCAAATATATGTATATATATATATATAAGAACTGTCTTAGTAATGCAAATACATATATATATATAAACTGTCTTAGTAATGCAAATACATATATATAAACTGCCTTAGTAATGCAAATATATATATATAAACTGCCTTAGTAATGCAAATATATATATAAACTGTCTTAGTAATGCAAAGATATATAAACTGCCTTAGTAATGCAAATACATATATATAAACTATCTTAGCAATGCAAATATATATATAAACTGCCTTAGTAGTCAGACATATATAAACGAACTGCCTTAGTAATGCAAATATATATATAAACTGTCTTATCAATGCAAATATATATATAAACTGTCTTAGTAGTGCAAATACATATATATAAACTGTCTTAGCAATGCAAGTATATATATAAACTGTCTTAGCAATGCAAGTATATATATAAACTGTCTTAGTAATGCAAATATATATATAAACTGCCTCAGTAATGCAAATATATATATAAACTGCCTC